AGACTTCCATTGTTTTCCCGAGATGATTATGGAACATCTTGTTAACCAACCGTTGATAAGTTGCTCCTGCATTTTTCAAACCAAAAGGCATCACCTTATAACAATAGATACCTCTATCTGTGATAAATGACATTTTTTCTTGATTTTCGGGGTTCATCATTATTTGATTATAACCCGAGAAGGCGTCCATGAATGTTAACAGCTCGTTCCCAGCAGTGGACTCTACAAGTCGATCTATATGTGGGAGCGGGAAACTATCTTTGGGACATGCTTTATTTAGGTCTGTGAAATCGATGCAAACCCTATCTTTCCCATTCTTCTTTTTGACAACGACAGTGTTTGCTATCCATTCCGGGTATTGCACTTCTCTTATGGACCCTATCTTCAAAAGTTTATCTACTTCGTCATTTACTATTTTGGCTCGCTCCACTCCGAGCTTTCTTCTTTTCTGTTTCACCGGCTTGAAGCTCGGATCTACGTTTAGCTCGTGACAAATTATACTTGGATCTATACCAGGCATGTCTGCTGCTGACCATGCAAACGATGTTTTGTTTCTCTTTAAAAGTTCGACCAAAGCTTCTTTTATTTGGCCAGTCAGAGTTGCTCCAATTCGAATTTTCCGGTCCGGCTTGTCTTCTTCCAACACCACTTCGATTACTACATCATCTTTCTTCTGCTCGCTAGGAAATTTTGTTCTTAGTCCCTCTTTTGCGGGCTTCGTTAATTGCTATTGAATCTTCATACGGTGGCTAGCTAGGTAACACGTCCGTGAAGCTTCTTGATCTCCCCGAATTGTTTCCACCCCATTTGATGTTGGAAATTTGATACATTGATGGTATGTAGAGGGGACTGCTTTCATTCGATAAATCCAGGGAGTCCCGAGGATGATGTTGTAAGCTGCGGGCTTATCGAAGACAACGAAGTCCACGATCTTCGATACCTTCTTGGCAAGGACCGGTAGCTTGGTTGTTCCGAGAGACATGGCTGACTCGCTTGTGAACGCAACTAACGGAGATGGGGGTCCTACTATGTCTCCTCGGCTGATTCCCATTCTTTCTAGAGTACTTAAAAAGATCAAATCGACCGAACTGCCTGTATCTATAAGGATCCTTGATACTTCGAAGTTGGCAACGTCAAGGGTAATGACTAGAGCATCGTCATGCGGTCTTTCGAGGTACCGCGTTTCTTCTTCATTAAATGATATTGATGCACCTTGAACATCGACTTCTTCGCTTAAGCTTGCTTTGAGTAGGATATTTTGTCTATGTTTCTTGATGGAACTTATCGAATCTCCGCAAAATTTTGAGCCTCCTAGAATCACATTGATCTTACCCTTCGAACTCCTTGGTTCTTCCTCGTTGGATAACCTTGGTCTTTTGGAATCTTGATCTTTGGAGTTTTCCTTTGTTTCGTGGTATTCCTTCACAAAATCTTTTATATCGAATTTGGAAAGATCTCCACTGGCCCTAAGCTCTGCGAGGTGCTTTTTAAGAACGCTGCAATCCTTGGTTAAATGTCCGGTTACTTTATGAATATCGCAATATAGACTTTCATCACGGACCCAAGTGTTTGATCTTCCTTTCCCTTGGAATTGCTTTCCGACGGTACTGTTGAAGGGTTGCGACCCAAATTTCCTTGGTCCTTTGCTCTCCCTAGGCTCGAACTTCTTGGTAGGGACGGTGATTACCGGTTTTTCTTGTTTATTCCTTTTGGCAAAACTTTCTTTTTCGTCCTCTACCTCCATCCAGTTGTTCGCGCGAAAGAGTGCATCCTGAATTGTGTCTGGTTTATGAAGTATTAAGTCTTCTTTAAACCTTGAATCATGTCGCAATCCTTTTCGTAGGGCAGATAAAGCTGATTGCTGCGAGATTCTTGGGAGCTTTGACAGCACTCCTTTGAATTTGGTGATGAAAACTCGAAGTGACTCATTAGATCCTTGCGATAAGTTCCAAAGATCGGCATCCGAAATGCTTTTATCCATAAGGATGGAGTATTGCTTTAAGAATACGGCTGATAGTTCGTCGAAATTGCTGATCGAACCCGGCTCTAATTGGGTGAACCACATTAGAGCTTGGCCACATAGATTCTCCGAAAAAAGCTTGCAGTAGCCTGCGCCCTCATCAGCTTCATCTAATTCGACTCTTCCAGCAGCGATCAGAAAAGCTGCGAGATAGCTTTTTGGATCCTCCAATCCGCTGTAAGGGTCCAACTTGAGTTTCCGGGAATCTTTGATCCTCAAACTTGCAATTCGCGAGATGAAAGGTGTTCGCCTAGCCTCTTCAATGACTCGATTGATGTCTGGCTCCGAACTTGTAGCTTGATGAAATTTTGATTTCATTTCTTTTAATTCCTGGCTAACCTTCCTCATGGTCTCGAACTGGTCGAGGTTCTCCTGCTCGTATTGAGCTGCAAGTTGTTCTTCATCTCCGAGCTGTGTCTCTTCTTCCAACGTCTGAGCTACATTATTAGTAGCACCAGGAGTTGTTTGTCCGCTGGTTTCATTTCGTGCAGCGGAACTTGGCGAGTTGAATATCCCTCTTCGGATTCCCACAAGGTTTCCTGCACTCAAAGAGCGAACACGAGTTTGTATAGTATTGACGTTTTGACTAAGAGATACCTGGGATGTTTGCAACGTATCGACGGCCTTTTCCACATCCGAGAACTTTTGTGATATGTCCGACATGGTTTGCTGCATAGCTTTGAGGGTTTCGGCCAATGATGTCTCAATGGCGTCTCCTCCGGACATTGTTTCTTATCTCGGGAATGTAGTAAAGAAAAAATATGACCACTCAAGAACTCTCTCTCCCCACAGGCGGCACCAAAATGTGGATGTCGGATTCACACACTCAAGTATTTTATTAAGTAGGAAAGATTATTCTTGAGGGACAAAAATGAATAAGTAAAAACTTCTAAATTGCTACGAAAATTGCTATAGTATTTCTTTCTTGAGAGGAAGCCCCTTTTTACATGGCCATTGGCCTTTTATTTATACATAGAGAAACGACATTAAAATGAATAATTAAGTACAATTATTCCTTCTTAAATGTGTCCGTTTTGATTCTTCGACTTTAATGCTCAACGTTTGAATTTGAGTTGACTCTGATCTTCATGGGCCTCGCCTTTTTGGCCCAAGTATCCTTGAACTGACTTACCCGTGTCTTCTACACCGAACTCGTGCCACAGTGCAGTCACTTCGGATTCTCGAAGTGGTGATAACCACTTCGACCGTTCCTTCGGCTCATGGGTTCAATGGGCTTTGTCCTTTATGGGCCATTACCTTGACTACGTGGCAATCTTTGGTTGGTCTCGGACTTCTGGTGCGGGATCCGACACCAACAGGATTGATCTCGCCTTTCATCGATTGTATCAAGAACGTCTTCTAATAATTTAGAATTTAGTTCTTCGATAAGAGGAGCTTTGCTCCGGCGTAAACCAGGAACATTCAGTTCGGCTGGGACTACAGCTTCCATCCCATATACTAATGAAAATGGAGTTTCTCCCGTTGCTCGTCTCGGGGTTGTTCGATATGCCCACAACACAGGTTGCAGCTCGTCATACAAACCACCTTTCCGAGCATTCAAACTCTTTTTAAGATTGCTGAGAATGGTTTTATTGGAAGCTTCTGCTTGCCCATTTCCTTGAGGATACCTCGGCGTTGAATAGCTAAGTTTTATTCCCCAACCGGAACAAAAATCTTCAAATTCATTTGAAATGAATTGAGGACCGTTGTCCGTTACTATTTCGTAAGGAATTCCATGGCGACAAATAATGTGTTTCCACAAAAATGTTTTTACCACAGAATCTTGTATATTTACGTAGGCTTCTGCTTCGATCCATTTGGAAAAATAGTCCATTAGAACTAATAGGTATTGGACGCCTCGGGTTGAGCGATGCATTGGACCAACTATATCCATTGACCACCTAATGAAAGGGTATGGAGCGGATATAGATGACAGAATTAACCGATGCAGTCAGAAATCATAGTTGGCCAGAAATATCCTAACCTTTTGATTTTGAAAGCCATTGGACGTCCCGAAGAATGACTACCACAAAGCCCTTCGTGGACCTCGCTTGTCATTATTTCAACTTCGGGTCCGAAAATACATAAAAGGTAAGGATCACTAACGCCTCGCTTGTACAATGACTCTTTAATTATACAATACTTAGCGCTGATGATTTTTAATTTGCGAGCTTGCCGTTTGTTCGATGGAAGTTCCCCATTAAGGATGAAATTTTTGATGGGTACCCTCCAGTCAGCCCCCCAATCATTAGCAGAAGTATTATCCTTGAGTATAAACTTCCTTGGTTTGGGTTCGGAAGGAATATCAGGATCTTCGATTGTTTCCCGAACCTCTTCATCACCTGGAGGTGTCTGTTCAGTTCGAGACGGTTCTTCAGCGGGAACCTCTTGATCCTTTAATTTTCTTCTTGGCTTTCTTTTAGGAAGTTCCAATGGTGAAGTAAGTTCATCATCTTGAGATTTTACTCGTGATCTGGTGACCACAAATGAACTATTTTCATTTCTGGAGCTTGACTTTGGAATTTCGATATGCTCGGCATCCAAAATGTTATCGTTTTCTGTTTCTTCAACTGAAATACTTCGCAAAGAAATACATTCAACTGGGATAACTCGTTTGAGCTCGGGATCTGAGGTAGATGCTAGGGCAGCTAAAGCGTCTGCCGAAGTGTTTTCTCCCCGAGGGATTCGAACTAATTCGAAGTCTTTGAATTTTCCGGCTAATTTTTTTACAGCCGAAAGATAGGCTTCCATTCGAGGAGCCTTAGCTTCGTAATCTCCAGCGATTTGGTTTACAACCAGCTGAGAATCACAATAAGCTATTATTTTTTCTGCTCCAATTGCAAGAGCAAGCCGAAGTCCTGCTAAGAGAGCTTCGTATTCTGCCTCATTGTTCGAAGCCGGAAACATTAATCGAAAAGACTGTTCGATTATTTCCTTTGTCGGAGTTTCGAGCCTAATACCGATTGCCCAACTAGACAAGTAGAAAGGTCGACAATCCTAATGTCAAAATCGGATGCTAATCTTGTTACACCAAGTGTGGAAAATTCCAATTCTTGTATGATACACTTGCTCTTGTCAAAGAATGTAGATTCAGGTCACATTATGGAGCATAAAGATAATGAAGTTGAAAGAAGTAAGAGCGTTGAGAAGCAACCATCGAAAACGCTAGTAAGTGGAATCTATGATCTTATTCGCTATTGGAACTATTCCACAATTCATCGTTGCATTAAGTACTCCGTTTTAATTGACTCAACTTCTAGTATAATTCACTTGATTATATTCTTAAGTGTCAAGAGAAAAACAGGTTGCGTCGACTTACGCCATAAAGGGAGAGAAACCGCAGCAAAAAAGAGCTTAACTTCGGATCCAACGGAGGAACTAACAAGGCATGTTAACATACCACCATATCCAGAGCCTATGTTGTGTCTACCAGCTACTAAGGAAAGAGAGGATGTCACCAACAACTTTTTACCTCAAGAAGAACCCCCAGATCAAACTTCAAGTTCTTTTGCTTTGCTAAACACGGGACATAAGTTCACCATCGAACTTGACCAAGTAAGTAGTTCACTTGTTCAATTTGTTTCTAATAGTTTGAGTGATGTGATAATGAACTTAATAAGCACTGAAGAATGTGAGCAAAACGTAGGTTCTTTAAATGATCTTATGGAACGAATTTCTTGTCGTAAAGAAGATCGAGTAGTTGATACACTTTGTGATATACTTTGTGATACAGTTTATGGATGAGAGATTGTTCAAACTAAACTTGTTTTACCTGCTTATATTGTTGCCATGACTGCCATAACACACTTGTTTCTTGCCCAAAGTGTTGATGAACTTGCAGGTACCATCAAAGAACACACGAAACATAAAGACGATTCACCGGAAAAGAAGAAACTCGTGGACCAAAGTCAAAACTTGAGTGGACCAGCACCATTAATGATCACACCACCTGTCATGGAGACTAGGAGAGTTCCAAACTCTTGCCTAATTAAAGAGGAACCACCAGATTTTAAAGCTCAAGTCAAAACCCGAGAAGGAGCTACACAAGGAACACCACAAACCATTACACCAGACCCAAAAGGAGGAGTGATCCTTTCCTTCTGTCCCAAAGAACAGCCATCTGATGCACCATGCATCACCAAATCACCACCACATCAAGGTAAGACTCTAGCCTCCCGAAAACGAATAAAAGCTAACTTGCTTTCTCTTGGTGTAGATTCTATAGTTTCGAGGACGAAAATTTTTCAAGGGAGAGGGTATGATGCGGACATCCAAACCACACAATACCAGGATGATGGGAGAATCAAACCAGCAGCTGAACCAAAGCTCATTCAAACCGGATGCACAACTCCAATCAGACCCGACAAGGACATATGCTCAGTATTTGAAGCATATCAGCTCAAACACGACGATTCAAGGCATGAAACCACTGGGAGATTGTTCACAGCTCAGCTACAAAACATCACGAAGAAGAATCATCCAAAAATCTATTACCATCAAGAAGTTATGGAAGTTACAAGTCAGCAGACCTCCAACCGACGCGACGGAGACATGCGTCCATTCATTGAATCACCCCGGGCGAACCAGGAGGAACCGAGTTTTAAAACAACTTGTTTTGGAAACTTAACCCATCAGAGGAGCTTGTCGAATTGGAATCAAGTCGATACCAATTTTGGTTTGAGAGATATTAAGTTTCTAAACCGGAGGACCCTGGACTTGCCTTATTTGGAGTTTTCCAACTTTGGATCTTTACAAACGTATGTGTGGCAACCAGGGGAGCTTCTACATCATCTAGAAGACCTTAAGAGAATATTTATGTGCAGAAAGGACCATTGGATCAGGTGGATCCAATCTTACCCAACCATACATCAAGACTTACTAAATATAGACCCGAGAGCATTCAATGCCCATCCCCAACGGCTATGTTCTGATTTGAGGCATCGAATGAGTGTTTCCATAAGGCTTCTCAATCATGGTTACACCCAGAAGCTTTCTAGATACAAAGGAGGCGAGCACACCTTCCATTTATGGCCTAAATCCGCCATAAAAGCTCCAATGGCCACAAGATCAAGGCACCATCAACACTTGATCATCTATCATTTAATTTTGTGTATTTTATTTCTTATTTAAGCTTTAAGACCGTTTTCTACTGTCCTAGAGTCGAGCCTATATAAGCTCAAGTCATTTCATTGTAATACTCACCCTTAATCATCGATTTTAATAAACGTTAAGTTTTCTTTCAAAGACAAGTTCTTTGTGTTCCTTTTCATTTTGAGTTTAGTGTGAGATACACTCTTCTCTTGTGAAGCTGCGGATCAGTTTGTTGTGTGATTCAACATTCTTATTCGTTCATTGATTGAGTGAGTCAATCGCATCTATCCATCGTCTCATCCCTTGATTCACGAGAGAGTGCGTTATAGCCAGCTCGTGAATTCCACCTTCCGCAAATTAAGCTTGGAATCTCTTGATCATTGAGTGATCATAAGTTGGATTGGTTCCAATCTTATATCACTAACCCAACCGGGGAACAATTCCCCTGGGTCAGGGAAATCTTCCTATTGTCGACGGATTCCTTATGGAAGATCTTGATGTCACCCGATCAGACGATTTCATCAAAGTTCGTCAAGAGCTTAATGAAATGAAGTCGAAATTTCATCAGGCTACCAGTTCGGCGCCTGAGATCGATCGAGTAATCGAAGAAACTCGTCGAACGCCCTTTACCTCAAGAATCTCGAACCTTCGGATCAAAGATTCTCGAAAGGTTAAGTTACCAGCTTACGATGGTAAAGGAGATCCTAAAAATCACCTCGCTGCTTTTCAGATCGCTGTAGGCAGAATTGATCTAGAACCAGGCGAGGAAGATGCCGGATTTTGCAAACTATTTTCCAAGAATCTTTCCGAACCGGCTCTGTTATGGTTCACTCAGTTAGAACCAGAAACTATTGATAGTTTTAAGGAATTGTCCTCAGCATTCCTAAAACAATATTCTATGTTCATGGAAAAGGCAACTTCTGATGCGGATCTTTGGAATTTAACCCAAGGTCAGAATGAACCACTTCGCAAATATATCACTAAATTCAAAGAAGTGATAGCCAAAATTCCTGGGGTATCGCACGCAGCTGCCCTTTCTGCTTTAAGGAACGGACTCTGGCATGAATCCCGATTTCGGGAAGAAATCATCGTCAATCGTCCGAGTACCATCCAAGATGCTTTATTCAGAGCTACTAATTGGATGGAGGTAGAAAAAGAAAAGCTTAGTGTCGCTAAAAAGCATCGGCCAGCTAAATTAGTCGTTGCGAATCCAACTAAAAAGTTCGAATCAAAAGATCAAACACGGTTCGGAGTTAATCCTGCTACTAATGTTGTAGGAAAACCCTCTCCAAACAGAGGAAGATACAATCCCCCTAATACTTGGGTTAGAGATGAAAGTGCCTATTGTGATATTCATAAAGTAAACGGGCACTCCATCAAAGATTGCAGCGTGCTAAAAAAGCACCTCACCGAACTGTGGGCAGCTGGAGAGCTCGCTAATTTCAATATCGAAGAATTTGTGGAATCATACCACAAAGAAAAAGAAGATTCCGAAGCTTCTAATCCTCCTGAAAAGAAACATAAGCCCAATGGGCCAGGAACTCCGAACACTCCTAAGAAAAGGATCGATGTTATAATGGGAGGATCCAAATTATGCCGAGATTCGATCAGATCAATCAAAAGGGATAAGAAATCAGCAGCAATTCAAACCGTTGTGGGTTTCCAATCAAATGAACAAATACCTTCTATCTCCTTTGATAATTCGGACATTCAAGGATTAACAGAACCTCATGATGATGCTCTTGTAATAACTTTAGATGTTGCAAACTTCGAAGTGACGAGGTGTCTAATTGATACTGGAAGCTCGGTAGATCTCATATTTCTAAGCACTTTGCAAAGAATGGGAATCAGTAAAGCCGACATTATCGGTCCACCAGCGCCATTTGTAACTTTCACGAGTGACAAATCTATGTCCTTAGGAAACATAAAACTACCAGTGCTCGCCGCTGGGATTCCAAAAATTGTAGAATTCATCGTTTTTTACCGTCCGGCCGCTTACAACATAATTCTCGGAACCCCGTGTGTTGGGGTCAGATCCCACACATCTTCGGTAGGATCTACTTGGATCTGTCCACGTCATTATTACATAATAATCCTCTTGGATTTCTAGATGTTTCATTGCGAGAATCGAGCTCGACCTGTCGGAAGTTCGATTCAGTTTATTAAAGAGCTCGATATTTACCAGTACGGAGTTCGCTCTTATTCAACATACATTTCGCATAAAGGAAGGCCGAAGCGAGGAGAATACTGTTCGAGGTTCGCGGCAGGGTCAAGACGCAGGAGTTCGGAGTCAACAAGAAAGAGTTCGGAAGATCCACGCGAAGCCCAAGATAGTTCAAATTCAAGCCGTTTCGGTCAAATTGTAACCTACATGATTAATGCGGATCAATGCGATTATGAGCAGTAAATGACCGCATTGATCATGTTTTCTCTATAAAAACAACCTCAACGCATGTGTTTGGGTGGAGAACAATTTTTTACCTCTTACGATCAAGCAATACAACATACGCTTTCTTTTACAATTTTGCAAGGCTTTTTACTATTTTATTCTTGCCAAGCTCTTTCGCTTTATTTAGTTTCTTGGTTACTTTCCTTTTCAAATCCTTGTTTTCATTTATTGATTTTAGAGTTTTTCTCCACAAAAATTAGTAAAGAAAATCGAGTGTGAATCCTACATCCACATTTTGGCGCCGTCTGTGGGGAGTTACCGCAAAACTCTTTAATCTCAAAATCTCTCTTTTTCAAACCAAGAAACTATGGCTGATCAGCAAGCTTTGAGCAATGCAATTGCCTCGCTTACTCAGTCAACCACCGATCTGACCAATCAGATGGGTACACTCGCAAGTGCCAACGTCACTTTTGGTGAAAGGTTAAACTCAATCGAGCAAACTTTAACGAGTGTTCAAAATACTCAAACAAATTTTTCAAACGCGCAGAACGTTGTTTCAAGCCGTTTAGATAATTTGTCCTCAGCACAAACGACAGCGTATCAGCGCAGGTGATGAGATCATGGTCAACATGACCGCACCACACGAACCCGAGGAGCAGCTTGTACCGGAGGAACCACCAAACAAACCCAAGGAGCAGCTTGTACCGAATGAAGCACTAATCGTCCCGGCGGGTCCTCTAACTCGATCAAGATCCAAAATGTTCAATCAAGCAATCAATGGACTACTTAGGGAGCTAGACAAGAAGCAAGAAGACGTGGCCCAAGTCTCCCTTATGATGATCACGGCCCAAAGTGCTCGGTAAAGGGATAAGTGTTGCTTACGCACTCTTTTTCCCTTGTCAAGTTTTGTCCCAATGGGTTTTCTTGACAAGGTTTTTAATGAGGCCTAAGTAACACTTTCAAGCCTCCCTTTATCAGCCCAATTCGTGGTCCAAGGCCCATCAGTTTGCCTTGGCCCATTATCTTAATTTATGTTCAAACTTTGCATTTAATGTCGTTGTAATTTCCGAGACGCTTTGCATGAGCTTGCATGAGTGTTGACTTGTGCATGCTCGTGCATGTTCTCCTTCTCCTCTCTTCTCCTTCATACTCCTCTTCTTTATATTCTCCTTGTAGCTCACATTGGCAAACCATCAAACATTTTATCAAAAATCTCTCTTCTACTTGTTTGATCCGAGAAGTGCGTAATATCTTCTCAACTTGTTTCCTTCTTAGTGTGTAATATCTAAGTTGTATTCAAGCTCGTAGTCTAAGAGATTTCCACCTCTCTTGGAAGTACAATTCGTTCCCCTTCACTCCGCTGCAACCGCTCACCCGTTTGACCGTTCATCTTCCACCTTCGATCTCGCTCTTCTTCCATTCCGCTGCATCCTTCATGTTCAAAACCAACAAAGTGTGTTCTTGGGAGTAGATCCTCATCTAGGAGTCTATCAGCAGGCTATTCCAAACTCCCATACAAAACAGATCCGGGAGCACTCAAACTCCTCCTACAGGCCGTCCTGCTAGTACTAGCAATCAGACAACCGTAGGAGATGGGTCCAATCCTACCGGGGATGAAAATCCCCAAAATCAGGGCAATTCTGCTATTGACGAAGGACTCCTTATGGAAGAACCTGATGTCATCCTTTCCGATGATTTCGTCAAAGTTCATCAAGAGCTTGACGAGATGAAGTCGAAGTTTCATCAGGGGACCAGTTCGGCACCTGAGATCGATCGAGTAATCGAAGAAACTCGACGAACACCCTTCACTTCGAGAATCTCTAACCTTCGGATCAAAGATTCTCGAAAGGTCAAATTACCAACTTACGATGGTAAAGGTGATCCTAAAAATCACCTCGCTGATTTTCAGATCGCTGCTGGCAGAATTGATCTAGAACCAGACGAGGAAGATGCCGGATATTGCAAACTATTATCTGAGAATCTATCCGGATCGGCTTTATTATGGTTCACTCAGTTGGAGCCTGAATCTATTGATAGTTTTAAGGAATTATCCTCCGTATTCCTAAAACAGTATTCCATGTTCATGGCAAAGACAACCTCTGATGCAGATCTATGGAATTTAACCCAAGGTCAAAACGAACCACTTCGCAAATATATCGCTAAATTCAAATGAACAAACACCTTCTATCTCTTTCGATAATTCGGACACTCAAGGATTAACAGGACCTCATGACGATGCTCTTGTGATAACTTTAGATGTTGCGAACTTCAAAGTAACTAGGTGTCTAATTGATACTGGAAGCTCGGTAGATCTCATATTTCTAAGCACTTTGCAAAGAATGGGAATCAGTAAGGCTGACATTATCGGTCCACCGGCACCATTAGTAGCTTTCACGAGTGACACATCTATGTCCTTGGGGAACATAAAACTACCAGTGCTCGCCGCAGGGGTTCCTAAAATTGTATAATTTATTGTTTTCGACCGTCCGGCCGCTTACAACATAATTCTCGGAACTCCGTGGATTTACCAAATGAGGGATATACCTTCAACTTATCACCAGTGTGTGAAATTTCCGACTCATGCAGGAATCAGAACCATTCAAGGAGATCAGGAAACGTCGCGATCTTGCTACCTCATGGGACATCGTTTAAAGCTTAAATAGCAATTAATGATAAACGCTAAGCAAGAAATCACTTCGCGTTACCCAAGTGGTCTCAGTTCGAGTGAAGTTACCACAGAAATTGAAATTGATTCCGAATTTTCAGATT